TAAATAAATAAATAAATAAATAAATAAATAAGACAAAATCTGAGCATAGATGGACATTCCTAATCACAGTGTACTTTGGACTATTCTCTGAATAGAAATAATATATTAAAAGTTCAAAAATACAGTGAGAGTAAAATAAATATATTTTAAAACCTTCAGATTTTATAAATAAAAACAAAGAACTAATATTAACAGAATAAAACAGTATTAAATATTAGGACAGAATAAAAACACTTGGAAAACCAGAAACACCTTTGCATGGCCCTAGGCAGAAGATGGGCATCTATAAACCTTTTTATTTATATAAAACATTTACATAGCTGCCCATCTTCTAACCAACTCTGGGCAGCTCCCAATCAAAAGTTAAAATAGCATATAAAACTATATTAAAACTATAAAACTAAACACAGTAAAAAAATAAAAACAACAAAAACCTGGTGCCAAGCCAGACTTCTAATCTGCAGTTATCGAATCTTATCCTAATGCTTCGTGGAAAAACCATGTCTTCAGTACTTTATAGAAGGCTCAGAGGGTAGAGGCCTGCTGAACTTCGGGGGGGTTGTATTCCATACGACAGGGACTGCTGTAATAAACGTGTGCCATGCTCCCATCAGCTAGCAATATTTAGGGGAAGGCACTAGAAACGTGCCCATCCCATCTGGCTAATGTTAAGGCTGTTTTCATTGATACCTCTGTGGGGAGTCAGACTCAAACATCAGTCTCAGATGAAATCTCAGAATCTAGATAAAAACTTTGGGGATTTATTTTTTTAATAGCGATGATTTTCCAAACTGTAAAATCCTAAAAAATCAAAACAGTACTCGTAAATTACCAATAACAAGATTCATGTGAATCCAGCCATTTTCAGTAGCAGTTCATTGTAGAAGGCTACTCTTGGATAGGAGTGAGACAGTCATTTTGAATTGGAGAGATCCAGTTGAAGTCATTCACTGAAACACTAACTTCACTGGATTAACTCAGAACATCTTTCTTTTTCTCTCTTACACCAGTGTACCTCATACAGTTACAATTACAGGAACAAAATGGGAAGTAACCCTCATATACTGCATGAAAGGAAAAGCGGGATATGAATACAATAATGGTTACATTAAATAATAATCGCATATCATGAGAACAGTTACAAATCAGAATAATATGAAACAATTTTCATCATCTTTTCCTTTGACAAATAAGATTATGTACTCTTTGGTATAAATGTAGTTATATCACAGATTTAGGAAATCTTTGTATCCTGAGGGGATTTTATGTCAACTTTCTGAGAAGTAATCCTACTTTCACTTTAGTCTTTCATACTTGTATACATACATTTTAGTACGTGTTTCTTTTTTAAGGTTCTTCATGGATGTGTCTATGGATCTCAGTGCTTTAGTAACCTGAAGTATTTTCCAATGAGCCTGTCTGATTTAGCATCCATGGATTATGATCCTTTTATGCATTTGGAAAATTTGAAAGAACCAGAACCCCTCCATTCACCTGATTCGGAACGGTCTTCCAAACTCCAGCCAGTCACAGAAGGTTTGTTTGCTTTAATTAACTTCCTTTTCTGATCAAGTATCATAAATTTTCCAATTAATTACATTCTAAGAGCTCAATTATAGATTATAGGTAGTGTTAATAAGCATGGAATAGATTAAGATAATTTTGAATAATTACAACTCCTTTTGGTACAATAAGTACATCTTTACAACACGCACCAACTTCATAACAGATTTTTCTCTACCCCAGTAAACAAGTAAAACATTTTTTAATTTTTATTGATAGCAAATATGTACATATGTTATTTAGCAAGCAATCAGATGCAACATGTTTAACTTAATATGCACTATTTTTTAATTCTTAAAATTTGCTTCATGCTTATTTATAAACTTAGTATTTCAAACTTTGGTTTGATTTTTTTTTCTTTAAAAAATAAACACCTTGAATTAATAGTTCAAATGATTTTAATTTAGATTTTTTTTCTTTCATGAAATATCGAATGGTACTAGTGAAAAGAAATTTGGGAGGCACAGGCTTTCATACTGAGGCTAAATATTCTGTGTAGGATCATTCTCTTCCGATATTAAGCTGTTCCCTTTAGGTTTCCTTAAAGGTATTAAGGACTAGATAAATACAGAACCTTTTTGTAGCAGCTGTGTGCTAACAGCAGGTGATTTTGTGGTCTGTAGTGACTCCGTGCTGTTTTTTTTTATGTGGAGAAAATGGCTAATCATTGTGCCCTTGTCTAAGGCATGCTTCATCATTTTCAAGTACTTTTTTGGCCAAAGAATTCTGAACACAGAGCTGTCCTCTAATAAGCTCAGTATTGGATTGAACAAATCTGATTTGAGAACTATTGGCAGGAGGAATGGTAATTATTAAATTTACTGAGCAGTGAAGCAAGCTACTGTAGTTGGCTTTTTGTCAAATGGCTGTGGTCTTATTAGTAAAGAGTAATCATCTGCAGGGTCAGAATGAAAGCAGCACTGAAGGATTCATTCTCTCCTAATTACAGTTTCACCTATACATATTATGCAAAGCTAATATTTAAACTAGTTGCCAAGATTAATTTCCTCTACATGTTACATTGCAAGTGTAAAGAATTGCAGCCGGGTTTTGTGCCTTACTGCTTTTGTATTCTGTAATAATGTGTAATTATGGGTTCACAGCAAATAGTCTGTGATTTGTTTAATCTGCCTATTAGAAAAAACAACCTTGAATAGTTCCCTCCGCCTCTTTTTAAATTAGTATCTATTGGAGAAAACAACAGCATTGCTGTCCTTTATTTGTGCATTTCCACACAGGAGTAAGTCCTGGGTATTTTTTTAAATCCTGAATGATATTTTTTCCCCTTCTATTATATTGTCTTAGGTAAGTTAATAACCTATTTTAAAGAGATCCCTGACAATCCTGGTTGGGTGACCAGTATATGTAGCAACTGTTTTGTCAGTTTTGGTACTGCTAACAATATTAAAATTTCAGTATTTTTCATTTTCCACAACAGCCTATAATTCTAAAAGATACGAAGCTGATTGTTGCTTAGATAAGTCAGAATGAGTTCGTATCAAAAATTATGACCTATCTTTTATTTGGTATGCAGTAGTGTTAGCATAATTCTTTGCTTGTCTTTCTTCTCACTTTCTAAGATTCCCCTTTTATTTTAAGACTTGATACGATTCCAATTTGTTTATGTCAGAAAGAAATGTTGCTATTATTGGCCTACAAAAATATGTTATCTTGAACATGTGGCAATATTATTATTCTCCAAACAAGATACATTACTTTCAGTTTTAAGTCATTTTTTTCCAGCAAAACTGGGAAGTATATTAAATAAAGCTTATTTGAAGCTTGTTGTGTTGTTGTTTCAGAATTTTTAGACTCTATAAGGAAATATTAAAACTCTATAAAACCATTCAGTAGAATGTTGAGACCCATAGATTTATAAATATGTCAAGCTCTGTGAATTAATATTAATGAAAAAGAGGGAACTACAGGTCAAGAGATGGTTCCACTATGAGGCAGCTGCCATTAAAGGTCAGCAGATAATGAATTAATTACAACACAAAATATGCTATATAAACTATATTATAAGAAAAAGGCACTGTAAGGATTAGAAGAACCAAGTTTGGCCACACATTCTGGCACTACACTCATCTGTTACAATAACTCTGTACACAGATGTCAGTCATTCTTCCCACTAAGAATCTCATAAGTCAAGAAGAAAAAAACACAAAATCTAAACCTGAGGGTATCTGTATATCTCTTTCTCTCTGTGTATCTATATTTATATGATGGCTTGAAGCTTATAGTTGGCAGTTGCTAGTTTTCTGCCCTGAAAACAGCTTTTCTAAAATCTGTAATAAAATTAAATTGTTAGAGTCGTGTTTTTTAATATCTGCCTGTTCGTTTTCAAATCTAAATGAAGACATCATTTGGATTGTTCTACAGCTTCAGGTTTCGGGAATATACAAGCCTTCTTTAGCATAAAGATTTGTTTATGTATGAATATAGAATTAGAAGAATTACTGTTTTTAATATATTAATAATATTGTAGTTAATTCACAACTGGTTATCATTCTAATCAACTTTTTGAATATTAATTCAAAGCATTATAATTAACTATACAGCCTCAGTAGAAAATTTATTAAAGTCTTCTAATGAATAACAATATAAATCTATACATATTTATTTAGTATCTTCAGTAAATTCAGTAAAAATTACTCCCAGCAAAACATATTCAGGATTTCAGATTTCAACCTAACATCAGGATTGTAATTATTTCTTTTCTTTTTTCTTTTCTTGAAAACAAACACTTTTCTTTGTAATTATTTCTGTCGTTAAATATTTATATATATATATATATATATATATATATATATATATATATATATATATATATATATATATATATATATATATATATATATATATATATATATATATATATATATATATACCATAAAAATAAAATTAATTTATTAGAATTGTTAACAGTCATAATTTTTTAAAAAAATAGTCTATGAGAAAATATCAGTATCATTTCAGCTGTGAAATATCCGTTTCCTTCTTAATGTGCTGACAATGTTTACTTCTTCTGTCTTAGTTCTATATTTGCCATAATCTCCACAGTGGCCTTCTCCTTTTCAAGAAGGAAAGCTAATAGCTTCTGTTCATATTTTTCCTTTCTCTATGCTGTTGAAGTGTTAAAATATTTTTTACAATTATTTGTATTTTTAAAACTGTATTCTCTGTCAAATTGCTTTCTTTGTTATCATTTAATAATTGTTTTTATTTAAATTGAAATGCCTAACAGTATTTTTCTTACCTCACTTTATGAATGTGGTGTCGTGCAGGTCATACTGCCTCTGTTCAGAGTCCCTTAACATTTAAACAGATAGAAATTACATTTTTATTGTTAACAGTATAACCTAAAGTATTGAATTTTGTGTTTTTTTCCCAGTAAAATCTCATATGCAACAAGGACTGATCTCTGTGGCAGCTCGTACTGTGATAGCTCATCTGGTAAACCACTTAGGCCATTATCCAATGAGTGGGGGGCCTGCTATGCTAACAAGTCAAATATATGAAAATAATGACAATCCTTTCTGCGAGAACCTTGAACTTTCTCCTGAGCTTTTTGAGAACCCCAACCTCCAGTTCTTTGTATTAAATAATACCACATTAGTTTCATGTATACAGATAAGAGCAGAAGAGAACATGCCTGGAGGAGGTTTGTCTGCTGGACTTGTCTCAGCCAATTCAAATGTCCGAATTATAGTGCGGGATCTGTCTGGGAAATATTCTTGGGATTCTGCCATCATGTATGGGCCACCCCCTCTATGTGGCCTAAGTGAACCAACCACGTTTATGCTTTCACTGCCCCATCAAGAGAAATCAGAAAATGCCTCAGAACGTCCTGTGTATACAGAAGAAATGTATGTAAAGGATGGAATTACTCTTCCACTAAAAAGAAGATTTAGAGACATTGTGCCAACGTGGGATACAATAAAGGACGAAGAAGATGCCCTGGATGAGCTTTTGCAATATGTGGGAATCACTAGCCCTGAGTGTTTACAGAGGACAGGTGTGTCTCTCAATATACCTGCTCCTCAACCGATTTGTGTGTCAGAGAAGCAGGAAAATGATGTAATCAATGCAATCCTGAAACAGGACACTGAAGAGAGAGATTTTATTGAAAAGCACTTCAGTGACTTAAATATGAAGGCTATGGAGCAGGATGAACCAATTCCACAAAAGCCCTATTCAGCATTTTACTATTGCAGGTTGCTCCTTAGTATTCTTGGCATGAATTCTTGGGATAAAAGGTAAAATGATACTATTATTTGCTCTTAAAATCAACACAATTTGGTCTTTTTCAGAACTGAGAGAGATTTTAAGTAACATACATGTTACTACTAAAAACAATAGCAGTATATATCTTCCCCTTCCAGGACAGCCACTTGTTTAGCGACTACCTCAGTTAGCAACCATTTGCAAATACAGTAGTAATAAACAGTAATAAAAATCATTTTCTGACCAACGCGCAGATTTATAACTAAATTTTTTGGGTCTGAAAAAAATCTTCACTGTGAAACCAATTAGGGTTTAGTCAATTTCAGGCAGCAGGCAAGCTAGCTAGAAGGTTCTAATGAACTAATTAAGTTGTTAACCTGCCATTAGCACTTTTTAAGGAAGAGCTATGCTACCAAGAAAAGCAGCTCAGGAAGAGAGCTTGTTTAAGCAGTCTCTCCACCCTGAGAGGAAGCAAAAAAAGAAAAAAAAATTGTCAGGCATAGGGCACTGTGTAAGAGAACATTATATGAATGAGGCATATCTCTTACCACAGGTTCACTTAGCAACCTTTTTGTTTAACGACAAAGGCAATAGAACGAACTGCAGTCGCTAAACAAGAGGATGTAATGAAATTAAATCCAAATGTTCTGTCACTTCCATATTAAGATTTTCTTAGCCATGAGTGTACATAATGAAAATCACTACACAATTATAGGAGTATAGTGGATTTGGTTTGGTTTGGTTTGTATTATGACAAATTACAGAAGAGGAACAGCTAAATATATGCCATAATGTATTAATATATCTACTTCTCACAGATACTTTCCTAGATGCCTCTAGGATGTTTACAAGTCTCTAGTCCTAATTTGAGAGCCAGTTTGGCTTAGTGGTTTATGTGCTTCAAGGGGAATGTTGCTCAGGCCACCAGGTTAAAGAATGAAGTAAGAATTATAGTGAAGGCGCTGATAAGGATTCAGAAGACTACATACCTGTATGTGTATGTGTGTATCTATGTGTGTCTGTGTAAATAAAGATTTTCATTTTTTATGTGAAAAGGGTTTTCAAAAGGCAAGAAAGCTGTAGGTGTTAATAAATAGAATTATTGTTTGCTATGTCTGTCATTGTACACAGATAATGAAAACATTTTATTAAATTTACTTATGTAGGAGAAGCTTCCATCTTCTGAAAAAAAATGAAAAACTACTTCGAGAACTTCGAAATTTGGATTCAAGACAATGGCAAGTTATCTGTTATAAGCAATTTTTAAGTGGTAATAATTTCATTTTTTAAATTGCACTTCAGTGTAATTATTTTTAAAAATAATGTAGATTTCAAGTTGTTATAAATTCTACCAATTTCTGTGAGAATAGACTTTTTTATAAAAATGCATTAAAAGATTTGCCTCTGAGTAATTGTCTCCAGCACTAATGTGCCAGTGCCTGTAGTTCTGAGTTAATACAATCTTGTTTAATTTATTAGAACTCTTATGTTCTAAAAACATAAAACAGCTTATATTGATATTCTTAACATTTGAACTGAATCATTGTTTAAGCCCTTAGTGCTTTAACAGAAATGGAAGTGGCTAGATATGAAAGTATGGACAGAGTATTTCTGTCAGCTATAGGTAGTCCTTGACTTACAACCAGTTGTTTAACAGCCATTCAAAGTTAAAATGGATCCCTCAAAAGCTACTTAAAATCTGGTTTCAACATTTCAACATCACCCCCCACCCACACACACACACTATCAAATAACTGCATGTTGGTCACTCAAGAACTGGCCCACATTTACAGCCATTGGTAGTGTTCAGCAGTCACATGACTACAATTTACAACATTTTTGACAGAAACTAGCATACACTTCCAGTTTCCAACAAAAACTGGCCCATAGCAAACAGTGGGTTTGATTAACGACCACTGCATAAAGAGATAATAAAATTGGGTCAGTCACATGATGACTGCTTTACGTCATGACCTACAATCTTAATTGCCAGGGTCAATTACAGTCATTAGTCAAGGGTTTCACGTAAATCATTAGTTTAAAAAAAGGCAGAAAGCCTTTATTTCAGCCAGAGAACTGTATTACAAGGCCAATTTTTATGAACTATATAAGGTCTTTAAGCTTATGACTAATAGTAATGAAAGAAATTTATAACTCCATAATTTGTTCAAATGTTACTAATATATGTGTGTTCATATCTTACAACTACAGCAAATTTAAAGATTTTTTTCAGCCATTTCAGGAGAATATTGGAGATTTCCAGATTTTATTGCTGTTTGAAAAAAAACTTGTTTACATGAGTGCATTATGTTTTCAAATTGCTGAATTAGTCTTCTGTGCCTATGAATTGACCTGTTTCAAGATATAGTAGTGAAAATGGCTGATGCGAATCACTTTGAAACAATTTGTGACCAATTTTGATTATATTTAGAAACCAAGTTTCATATTATCCCCCCCATAGAGAAACTGTGAAGTTTATTTTTGCAATGTTACAAAAGTTATTTAATTAAAAGTGGTATTTCTATAGTATGATCACGTATTTAATTTTGATTATATATTATAACAGTAAGAGATTTTTTTTAAAAAATGCCTTGGCAATGATCCTTGCTTCAGGACTATAAATAAATAAGCAAAGAAACTTATAAATAAAAGCTGAAATCCCCTTCAAACCCCTTCACAATGAAGGAAATCATATTAGCCTTTCTATATATCCACTATGTCTTAACAATGTCAGAGGATATTATATAATTGCAATCATATGTCTTACAGCCGAGAGACGCACAAAATTGCAGTATTTTATGTTGCTGAGGGACAAGAAGATAAACACTCCATCCTGACTAACACTGGAGGAAGCCAAGCATATGAGGATTTTATAGCAGGTCTTGGTTGGGAGGTACACTTCTATCTCATCCCATTCTAATCAATTCATTTATTTTTTCAAATGTTGTGATGCTTTAATAACAGCATTTATTTAAGAATTCACATTAGAAACAATTTGAGATTTCTTTCAGTCTGATAACTATCATCTTATTTCACAAGCTGCTTATAGAACTTATAAGAGGGTGGCTAACATTCCTATCATGTGTCTGAAGCAGATTTTATTTTATTTTATTTTTGTCATATCAACAGTCTTTTTATCAGCAGAAAAAATAGGTATAACTGGGGTTTGTGATGCATGTGATTTTCTTAAAAGCCAAGTTCTCTTTGGATGGTGGAAGAAACAGGGACATGTTAGTTTCACAATTATTCTTACAATACCTGGAGATTATAGTGTAAGTTTTCATAAACATTTCAGTATTTGTGAAATTTGCCAGTTCTGTGTTTGGTGATAGGTAGACCAGCTCTGCTTTTTTAGCATCTAGAAACAACATCAAATCCTAGTTAGCACCTGTTTAGAATTGCTCTCTTTAGAAGAGCTCTGTTTATTAAGTGGAAATGTTCTTGCTGAAAGACAGATGTTTACCACTCACAGTTCCAATGTTCACTACATTGAACCTAATGATGGCTACTAAAAATGTCTGAAATGTCATGGTATAGATCAGGGATAGGCAACCTTGGCTCTTTTATGACTCGTGGACTTCAACTCCCAGAATTCCTGAGCCAGTAATGCTGGCTCAGGAATTCTGGGAATTGAAGTCCACGAGTCATAAAAGAGCCAAGGTTGCCTACCCCTGGTATAGATCATCGTTAAAATACCAATGTGAGAATACGGGTAGTCCTCAACTTAAGACCACAGTTAGGCCCAAAAGTTCTGTTGCTAGGTGAGACATTTGTTAAGTGAGTTTTGTCCCATTTTACGACCTTCCTTGCTATAAATGAATCACTGCTGTTGTTAACTTAGTAACATGGTTGTTAAGTGAATCTGGCTTCCCCATTGACTTTGCTTGTCAGAAAGTAAAAAGCTGCTCACATGACCCTGGGACATGCAACCGTCATAAATATGAGTCAGTTGCCAAGTCTGAATTTTGATCACGTGACCATGGGGATGCCGCAATGATCATAAGTGTGAAAAATGCTCATAAGTCACTTTTTTTAGTGACATAACTTTGAACGGTCACTAAATGAACTGTTGTAAGTCGAGAACTACCTGTAGTACCATTCCAATTGCCACTGGAAATAACAGTAGACGGGATTAATGTAGAACAGCTCACTTTTGGGAGTCCGTGTGCTAGGTGTGCCATCTAACCACTACAAAGCGTATGCTAGGAAGAGTTCTGTGGCAGAGTGGAATTATTATGTAGATTTAACTAGATTGGACTAATATTTGTTTAGCTTTGTGAACCCAAAATATTTGTTATCAAATAAACTACTAAATAGTCTTGATTTGGCATGGAGTCAGTAAATATTAATGGCAATGAAAAAAATACATTTTTCTCCCCTTTCAGTTCGTATCCTGTTAGACCTGAGTCCAAAAAACCTCTAATTTATATTATATAGATATTTTATGTTGTGATGGCTTTTTATTTTAGGTGAACCTAACAAATCATTGTGGTTTTATGGGAGGACTACAGAAAAACAAAAGCACTGGATTGACCACTCCATATTTTGCCACTTCAATGGTTGAAGTAATGTTTCATGTATCAACCAGAATGCCTTCTGATTCAGATGACTCCCTAACAAAAAAGGTAGGTATTCCAAAATAACCGTTCACACTCTGATTAGTGTGGTGTGGTGATTAAGTTATTGTACTAAAATCTGAGAGATTCTCAACCATGAAAGTCACTGATTAACCTTGGGCCACTGACTGTATCTCCATCGAATCCACTTGCTGAGTTATTCTGGGAAAAGATGCACACTGATAGAGGAAAGGATATTCAGTAAATCTAACAACTACAAAGCCTGGTTCATTATATGATTGGAGGCTATTTCAAAGTCCTGCCATTCCAGCATACATAGCTAACTGGGAAGAGTCACACTGGTAGGAAAGTCTGAAAGGCTATTTCCTTTCAGGTATTTTTCACTCTTCTCATTTTACAGATAATAGCCCTGTTTAAAGTGACTGGTTCAGTGTGAATCTCAGTATAGGGCATTAGGGCATTATGAAAAATATTCTACGTATCTGGCAAATAAAATCACTTGGTTACAATCTTGAGTTGAATTCTTCATTCTTCTCAATACTTTGCTACTATAGTCCATAATAATAAAAGGAAACATGAATAATGGAAAGAGTCTTAAAGAATGAGCTTGTAAAATTGTTCTGTATTTTTTGTATACAAGCAATACATGTAGTCTCATAGTGGAGTGTGGGAAAAATGTCACATCTCTATAATAGTCTACACTTTAGGTATATCCTCACCCAAGAAATAGCCCCAATTTACAAATGGTTGAAAAACAATTTAAAGCAGCTCTTTTCCAAAACCTTTGGCCCCAGTTGACTAACAGTAGGTGGCTGTAATTGTGTTTTTATTGTGAGATGTTCTTTTTGGTTTTGCTTGCATTTATTGTAAACTGCCCAGTTCTTCAGGTCTGGAATGGGTTATAAAAAGAGTTTCATTTTGAATGAGATTCACTAACCATACATGTTAGCATAGGAGAGTCTTTCAGAATAATATAATTGCAATATCTAAAATTATCAGGGTTGTTTAAAATTCTTTTTTTCCTGATCTACTTCCAACGTAGACATTTAGACATTGACTTTTGACCAAATAGATAAGGGGTGCACACTTTACCTTGAGCAATCATATCTAAAATTCATTATCATCTAACAATTACATGTATTTGTATAGGCAGCATATCCAATCAGCAACTGCCAGAGCTTTTCTAACAATCTCAAAAATAAATTGTTTTATACTATTGGTATTTCTTTTTTCATTTAAAATCCAACAAATTCCACATTAATGGCATAAAATAGGGGGAGACAGGGAATATTTGTCCTATTAAAGTGAGTGGTTAGCTATCATTAGATTCTGAACCTTCTATTCTGTACATGTATCTTCAGATGCTCTAATCCATTCCGCAGACACATTAATGAGCACTCATAGAAGTGCAATATTGGAAGAAGTGAGGCAGGTTGACCTCAGCATGGAGTTTAATACCTGTAACTGAATTATATCACCAACAGTTAGTATAGAGAAATAGCTATGCCTCTGGCAATTTTCAGATTTGTTCTATGTTCAGTCTCTAATAATTTCCTGTGTTATTATTTAACAGACTTTGTGCTCTAAAATTTTCCACTGATACCTTAAAAACTCCCATCAAACAGCCATTTTTCTCCTACAATTCAAGGTCCTATGTATTTAGATGTATAGACTGACAAACCCAGAGGTTCTAAGCAGTTTTTCATAACATGAACTTAGCGATTCTGATTGGGAGATTAGTGATGTAGCTCAGGCTGAATTACCGTATTTATTGGCGTATAACACGCACTTTTTCCCCCTGAAAATAGGGGGCAAATGATGTGTGCATGTTATACGCCGATATAAGCGCTCCGCCGCCTGGCCCCACCTTTAAGTTTTTTTCCTGAAATTTCCCTCTTAAAATGAAGGTGCGTGTTATACGCCTGTGCGTGTTATACGCCGATAAATACGGTACATGTGTTTCATCTACCTATAGTAAAGATGCCCAGATGCAGGCATCATAGCAAACTGCAGTTAAAACAAAATAAGCAAATACATTGGAGTTATTCATAGCTGTAAGAGTAAAACATCAACAAACCATGCAGAACTGAAACTCACAGTCACTCATTCTCCTCACAACTGCTTATAATTAATTTTATGCTTGGAAAAGCTCTGGGTGCGTTCTACTTCTCAGGTGGATTATAAATAATGTTGAGAGGACTTCATAGCAGCATCTGTTTTCTAGACTCATGAAATTGTCTCTACATATTATATATTTGTATAGTTTATTTTGTTCCTGTTTTCAGCTAATTTATGTACAGTGGCCTCTATCTTTATGTGCATGACAATTTCTGCTAATAATTGGTAAATCTGAACAAAGAACAAAAAGCTAAGAGATTATTAACAGCTACCTGAGACAATTAAGACTGCTATCCTGCAGTCTTTGTGCATTCCTTTTGAATTTCGATCAGATTTCTCTCAATTATTGATTCTCCATCTGTCTCTAGCTGTTACAGAAACATTCCTCTTCCTTTAAGGAGTTAGCATTTCTGTTGTTGAAATACTAATTCAATATATAGAGAAAACACTACGTATAGTCAGAGCAAAAATGGTACTGCATTGGATTGAAGTGATCCCAAATCAAAACTCCATCCCACAGCAAAACGTGATCTATCCTTGAGCTAGACTAAAGTATTTCCCCAATAAGAAGCATATTTTGAGCCATCTGAGGAAAAGAAAGATTCAAATGTGGTTCATCTTATTTCTTTCAGCAAGATCTTAGAAATATTGGAGCCTTTGACATAGAAGTACATCAACTAAAGGAGTATGATTGTCCTGTATGGCATTTAAGTGAAACACCGATTTTTCTGTATTCCACATTGTGTTCTTTGGTCCAGCAAATTTTTTTAAAAAAATTACCTTTGCTTCCAATTTGATTTTTTTTAAAAAAAAAATTGAATTCAATTGTTTTTAAAGTTTAATCATAAAATTTGCATATTTTACTGAGTGAACAAAGAGAATTTTGCTATGAAATCGGTAGGGAAAAGAAGGCAGAATGTCACGGAAACTGTTCTAAGGAACTGTGAATTTAGCTGAGAGGGGTAAAAAAATAATCTCTTGAATAGCTACTGATTACAAAGGGTATATCCTGATTACTGCTGATTGCTGAGAGTAGCTGATGGAGTGACTGCTTCCTGCTCAAGAAGCAGAAAGTGTAAGAGGAATGTAAGGCAGCCATGCTCAGGAAGAGCTCACTGGACAAATGTGTGAAGATGTAAGGAGACAGGATGGTGGGTGGGATGAAAGGTTAGGATGGTGTGGGGAGAATGGAAGGATTATATTTCTTTGCAGTCATCTGGTCATTAGCACTCTCTATGAGCTGTTGAGGTCTCTTGGGGGTTTATCTGTGTCCTCAGGGTCACCTGAATCAGGGTGCAATTGGTTGTGGAATCTTCTTGGAACTGCTGCAAGGGCTGTGTTGTAAACTGGAGATAGGTAATGTCTTATTTCTCTTATTCCACCCCCTCTGTTAAGGGAGAGGTGTTCCATTCTAACATAGATGGTTTCTTTTTACCCTTCTTTCAAACCAATGGTCCTCTCTATCCAAAATGTGAACTTTGCTGTCTTCAAAAGAGTGAGCTTTGTCTTTCAAATGCAGATGGGCCAATTGCACTCTGATTCAGGTGACCCTGAGGGCACAGATAAATCCCTAGAAAATACGGCAGAGAATGGTTACTACTGCATAATCATAATATTTATTTAATTAGTTAATTCAGTTTAGGCACCACCCAATTCCAACTGACTCTGGGCAGCACACAATACAATATAAAAAAAGCCCAGTACATATCAAAACAAGATGTTATATATACAAAGAAAAACAAAAATAACAAAGTTGCCTCCAGCAAGGGGCTCCACCCACCTCACAATCTGAAAAACCTCCTGTCATGGTTCCGACAGATAAAACCCTTCAAAAGAACTTCGAGGCATTGTTTTCCTTAAATAATCTTTTATTCGGGAAACAAAGTATCGGCACTACATAGCTGAGCCCAAAAACCAAATTCCCCTCCCCTGGATACAAAGTAACAACATACAATTCCCACCCCCAATAAACAGTCATAAAGCATATTCCCCAATTAGCTTAAAGCACGGGTTTTCTCCTCAGCTGTCCAGCCCACCAAAACGTTATCAGCTCAGGACCCAGCTTGTCCTTGGGTTCCCATGGCAGAGTTATTATTATGGCTAACTGAGCTCGCATCCCAAATCCCGCTCCCTGCACCAACTAATTCTAAGAGTAAGAAAAAGGGAAAAGAGAAAATGGCTGCATTTTCATCTGTTGTCAAAGCAAGAACATCTGATGTTAGCAGTGTTGACACCTCCAGATCTTCAAAGTTTCCTGGAATGCCAACTGGGTGGGGACCTTGTGGATTTCAGGGGGAGGGATCTCTGCCAAATATCATGCACCATTTACTTTTTGTAGCCCATTGCGTAATTTAAATAAAAATAAGTGCAAATTTTACATGCAGAAAAAGTAAGTGCATCCTATATTTATCCCTGTCTCAAATACCTAAAGTTAGAATCAGGTACAGATGATTAGAACATTTTTAGAGAAAATCTGGGAGAACCTATCTAATCAATTTAATCCTCAGACATTTAATTTGCTCTTTGTTGTTGAAGTGTGCGGTGTCATCATGCTTATGTCAAAAGAACTCTCTGAAGCTTTCAGAAAAAAGGGTATAAATTCCTATAAGTCTGGGAAGGGATTTAAAAAAGTGACCAAGCAATTAGATATCAAATTCCGCTGTACAGAACATCATCTGCAAATGGAGATTTCAGACAACCGCCAACTTACCTGTGGCAGGCCATACCAGCAGGTTCAGTCAGAGAACAGAATACACAGTGCTAAAAAATCCCCTAATGTCATCATATAACCTACAAAGAATTCTTACCACTATTGATGTTAAAGTGTATGAGTCTACCAAAAGAAAGAAACTACACATGGGAGGTGTCCCAGAAGGAAGGAATTGTCCTGAAGGAACATCAGGGAAAGACTAAAATTTGTTCATGAACACCTAGGCAAACACCAGGACTTCTGGAACATGTGTTCTGGACAGAAAGGCAAATATAGAGTTATTTAGTTTAGAAACACGTTTGGTAAAAAAAAAAAAAAGACAGTATTTCACCAGAAGAATGTGATACCAACTGCAAAGCATGGTAGTAGAAATGTTATGGTTTGCTTTGCTGCATTAAGGCCTAGGCAGCTCACCTCATAAAATCCACTATGAATTCTTCATTGTATAAGAGTGCCTGAGGATAATGTGAAATCGTCTATCAGAAGATCAAAATTCAATCGAAAATCTTTCAACTTGGCAGTGATCCTCAGCATTTCACTAAATCCACCAAGGAATCGCTAAAAAGAAACCAAGGATTTGGGAGTGGCCAGGTCAGATCTAAATCCCATCATGAGGCTATAAAGTGATTTGAAACTTAAAACATCACACAGCTGAAAAAACAGCCTGGACAGAAGATTAGGAAAAAATTCTTCCCAGCCAATATCTGAGACTGGTAGACAGTTACAAGGAACTGATGTTATTTCTACCAACGAGGGCAATGCCAAGGATGCATTTATTTTTTTCAGAGAAGGAAATAATGTATCTGTTATTTTTTGTTGAATAAATGATTACAAAGTCCATTTTTCATGATTTTTTGTTCAATTGCTTTATATATTGTTGGAATGAAGAGAAATTATATGTCCACATATGTTAAAAAAATCTATATGAGATATACTTCCTTTTTATATATTTGTACTTCCTTTAGTTTTTTGCCTCACTGTTTTTACTCCTATTCTGTACTCTGCATATCATTGTTTATGTTGAAAGAGCATTGCATCATGGGTACATTTGGACATATCAGTGTTGAGAGTACATTTTCCTTTTCCCCTTTTTTAAAGAAAAAAGGTTAACAATTTAAATAGGGAAGGATTGGTAAAAAGTTAAGTGAGTAACAAAAGCAATCCTAAACAAAAGCAACTAGCCTCAAGAAATTATAATGTCCTCATCTCTTTAGATCAGTGGGTTCTACACATTAGTGATAATTTTGGCAAGAGTTCAAGGGTTAATGTAATAGATAAATAAAAGGAAATTGAGCCCTGCATTATTTCACTTGTCTTCTCTTTCCAAAACTAACTTACTTAATTTTTTTAAAGTAAATACTTGAATTCTTCCTGCCAGTGTTCTTTGCTTTTACTATCGTTTATTACTTCAATTATACTTGGTATCACTTAGAATGATCTGCCATTTGGAAATCTCAGTGTAGCCTGCAGCTTAGTATTAACTCTGGCTGGTATTGTAACATATACAGCATATGACATTAATGTATCAAAATTAAATTTGATCGTCCCTTCTGGTTATATTTATTTCACATTTCTTTTGTATTCAGTTAACGTAAACTTATTATGAAAGCTGACACATGATGAGGCTATAAAGGAAGAATGTTTTCAACTATTTCAATTTTTTTTAATGAAATTTCGGATATCTCTGCTTTTCCAGTGCTTAATTTTTTTCCCCCATGCCTTAGTAGAAATTGTAACCTGATGCTGTAACTATAGAAATATTTTTAACTGATCGTGTTGGTTTACGGCAGTTTTGTCTACCAAAACAAAAACCTTATGTTAAAAAGTTGTTCATTTAAGCAGAGTTATAAATAATAAAAAGAAAAGTCATAAAAATAGTTAATAATAACTGTTGTAGTAGCACCATTATATTCTAGGGATCAGTCTGGTAGTTTACTAAGATAATTTCCTATATTTATTTATTCATCATGTGTATATAGCCACCCATCTCACACATGTTACTCTGGGCAGGGTACAATAAAATAAATCATAAAGCAGTGTTTCTTAAAAAGACTGGGAGAAAGCATTTTCATATTATATGCAATGTTGCCATCTTGAATTGAAATGTTTCTTTAAAACTTCTTGAGAACTGATTAATGTATTATATAGGAACTACTATCCCAAAGATGCTTTCTTTCAAAAGGCAACTGGACTTTCCTGTTTTGTTAGAAGATGTTTTGCTTCTCATCCAAGAAGCTTCTTCAGTTTTGACTGAATGGTAGAGAATGGAAGGATTTATATTCATAAAGTCATGAAGAACTGAAGAAGCGAAACGTCTCCTAGCAAAACAAGAAAGTCTAGTTGCCCTTTGAGGACAACCATGACCTGGATGACTGAGACTCTCCATAGACATTTAGGAACTGCTGTGTTATTTCTCTTGTTTCAGCTTAGGCATTTAGGAAATGATGAAGTTCACATTGTCTGGTCAGAACATACTCGAGACTATCGAAGAGGAATCATTCCTACAGAATTTGGAGATGTACTTATTGTTATATATCCAATGAAAAATTACATGTTCAGTATTCAAATTATGAAAAAACCTGAGGTATGTTCTACCAATTCATATTCAGCTAAGATGTTTAGAAAACGATGTTCACATTGTCTAGTCAAAGCATAATATGGATTTCAGAAGAAAAAAATCATTTTTATAGAATATGGTTATTGCTATACATTCAGTGAAAAATTAGTATGTTCAGTATTCAGAGTGTGAAAAAATAATGATTTATGCTATGTCCATCAATATGGGATGAGGTCTTGTGCTGGTTGCTAAGTTGAACATCTTGAAGACTTCAGCACAGATTTCAACAAATCACCTGGGCTAGTATTGTTTTTGTAATTCAATAGCTGCAGTTCGACAATAGCTATAGATAACCCTGGATCAGAGCATATATTAGTGGGCTTTTGTAGCATCTGCCCTTGGAGCACCATCTCATCTGAGAGTTCTGGCCCTCCCCCCCCCACCTTTAAAACTTGGGTCTATTTCCAGATCTGAGTGAGAATGGGTTGTAGACCCCTTGTGGGGTGTTTTAGTTATTTATTTCATGGTTTATTTCATGGTTGTTATTTTTTTCCAGAGCTTCCTTTGGATTATATATTCTGTGTTTTAATTGTTTTTATTATTGTAAATTGTATATTATATAATAATATTTCAATGGCATGCTTAAAACCATTACGTCTTTTAAACATATAGTTATATTTTTATATTAATTGCATTTATCAATTAATTGTATGTTAAGGTGTCCACAAACTATTTATGTTTTTTCATAAACAACAATATCTCCGCAGCAAATTTGCAACCTGTACAGCCTTTCTTATATTTTAGCCTTTAGGAGAAATGTTTCGTGACATTATTGGGTGTATCAGATTAAGCTTAAAATACATTTAAATATAAGTAATTATTGAAGCAGTTATTAATATAGCAAAGAATTCTCTCTTTTTGAAAATGTCAGATGATCATATTGGCATCAAGAAACAGTCTTCTACCATATTTTAAATAACATGATTAATGTGAGGTGTAAACATTTGTTAAAGCTGATTACTAATTGTTATAGAAATTTAATGGCTGAATTTCTGAACTTTTTGAATTCAGGTCCCATTCTTTGGTCCATTGTTTGATGGTGCTATTGTGAATGGAAAAATTCTTCCTATTATGGTCCGAGCAACAGCTATAAATGCAAGCAGAGCTCTGAAATCGCTCATTCCATTATACCAAAATTTGTATCCTTTAACAAAAAGAAAACACTTGGAAGCAAGCTCAGCTGAGCATAGAGTAATTAATCATGCCTAGGACTATATGATATCTTTGACTGATATCCGGGGTTTCTATAAATTCATTTTTGAAAATCTCAGGATAATATTTATTAAAACAAATTGCAAGAATAAAGTGAGATGGTAGAAAAGCTTGGCTCCAACATGATTATTTTATTGAGTTCCAAATTTTTATTAGTTTATCCAAATATAAAACAGAAAAAATGAAAATAGTAGGAAAATAGGGGAGGAAAAAGTGTAGAGGAAAAAGAAAGAAAAGTGTTGACTTCAGATTCTTTTTAGCATAGTGGAATAAATACAGCCTCAACTTTACATTTACATAATAATATATACTAGCCATTTCTATAACACCAAAGCTATCTAATCAGCAAAACCCAAAGTCAAAGTTTCATTTTTTCTACCTTAAGCACAAAGTCCAGAAGCGGATTCCAAGTGGAAATAAAGTTAACTTGATTAAGTAGATATTTAAAATACTTAATTTTGAGTGATTTCAGAACAATTAAAATTGTTTGTAAAGATATATTGTTCTAAACTTACTCAACTTTAAATTACCTGAGAGAACCTTTTTTGAGTGTAAGACAACTCATAAATAATTTTCAAAATCAATCGCAAAGGCTACTACTTTCACATATGTAGTATAAATGATGTTAGCATATATTTCTGCAGTGTTAAATTCCATTAATTGTAATAGTAAGTGAGTTGCTACTTTTGAGCTAGCCTCTCTTTTTCAGTGATATTTGTTTGTTTATTAGACATAATTATTTGTAGTGAACAGGTTTGTGCTATTTTATTGTTTGGTTACTAGTGGAAATTATTTTAATTACAAGCTTGGTTGGATATAGTGTAATGTGTTAAGGTAAATCATGCCTCTTTTGGACACTTCCTGTGGAGTTGAAACCAGTATTTGAAACTTTTTTAAAAGTTAGATTTAATTATATGTACTTAATTTAAAATCTATACCTGTTTATGTTGATTAAATACAATTTGAATTTTAAGTCTGTGTAAGAAGTTAAAAATATGCATTTTAAATTACACTTATCTAAAAGATCTTTTTAGCAAGTATCTGGAAGATCATTTGTAATACATATGATAGGTGACAATAATAAGTCTTTGAATATCAAAATTCTAACAAATTTACTTAATTATATGATCATAATTATATAGCATTGTCAGCTACTGTATATTCCATTCACTAAATAGTCCTGAGATTCCAAAGCACATATTGTGAAATTTGTATCCATTAAAAATAGTCTGGGACTGCAGCATGTCTTGGCTAACTATATATCAAATGTTGTTCAGTAAATTACAAGTGTATTGATTGGCATATGCTGCCTAAATCAATTGTTCTGACAGCCAAAATTACAGTAATCTGTCAGTATTGATGACTGTCTTTCAGAGTTTGGTACCTTTCCTTCATTTGTCTTTTCTTACTTGTTTCTGAAGTGCATTTTCTTGTAAGCATCTAGTATTGTCGTGGTAGGTACTTGATGGTCCTTTTTTGTCCCTTGAAACCAACTTATGGGCTTGATCATGCAATTAGAGATAAAAGACAGCACTGGGGAGCATGGGTAGGCACTATTTTGCCTAACAATTGGGTTGTGAGTGTAGTTTAGGCTTGTTATCAGTCATTTATTAATTAGATGTTGAGAGAGTATGGTTTGGTTGTATTTTTATGGTGAGGGAGGTAAAGAGTAATTCCAAAGCATCACTTTAAATACCTTTGATTTTAGACATTGTAAATTCAATAGACATCTGTAATTAATTTAAACTTTTCTTTTAACAATTTTAATATAGAACAATGTAGATTATTCACAGATCTTCATTTTAGAAATTTAAAGATTTTTTTTTACATTATGCATCTGTATTTGTGTGCTTACCTAAGATCATACTGAAAATGTGTTATATCATTTTTCTGCTAATTACCCAGCCTTTTCTAATCTGTGTTGATTTGCACTAAACATAGAGATCAACTTGGGGGGAGTTTAATAAGTAACTGAATGAATCCCACTAAACAAACAACTTTCTGTTCTTTCTGTCTGACAGTCTTGACAAATTTGTGAGTGAATAAAACATAAATGAAATTAATATTAGGGTATACTTATCTATGTTTGCCATTAATTCTTTTATTTTAACATTTTAATCATTTTAATGATTTAAATATACAATTTTGTATATTTGTGACATCGATTTTATTTTTACTTTGGAGAAAATGTGCTTATTATATGAAGAATTGCTAAAATCACTGTACTATTATACTACTTTAAACTAACATTTTCTTAATAATGTATATTCTACACATAGTAACTACACAATTTTTGGCATAATTTTAATAATCCAGAATGTGTATTGGGGATAAGTCTTATGTTTAATTAAAACACAAGTGAAGGAAAGAAGGATTTATACTGAATCTTCCCTTAATACTACCTCTGGTAGAATGAACTCTTGAAAAGTTTTTTTAAAAAAGCTGAAATTATGAGAATGTGAATGTGTTCATTTTTTAAGAAATAGGATAAAGGTCATACATTATCCATCTCATTTAGAGTGCTTCTACTTATTACCAGTATGGATTTTAAAAACCCTGTTGCCAAGCCACGGTTCCTATCCATCTGTTCTTGCTGTTGTGAAAAGGTTCAATTTTCAGCAAAACCATGCATTTCACAGAAGGTTTGTGAGGTGAAATTTCACAGAAGACATGATGGATCTTGATTCTTAGTGATAAGCTAGCAGGGTTGGCATATGGTTCTGCATGATATGGAGGCTTGGGTTCCTTTGCTTTACTTTTGTGGTGTGGAGCTGATAAAAACTGGCTCTGTATTGTTTCACTGGACACCAATCATAGGCAACAGGAACTGCCCATTTTAATTCTCAGTGGGAAGGAAACCCAGGCACAGTTCACAATAGCACTATTGTCATGTTGCAAACTACTCTGAACAGCTTGACAGCTTTTAAAGGAGGGGGAGAGAAGTGTTGCTTTTCAAATTGGTGCTCAAAAGAGTGATGGGAAAAACATCACTGATATATTAACATTCTTTTTCTATAATATTATCAGTTTATAATAATAAACAGTTGCCTGGTAAGGCTTTATAAAAACTATATATATAGGAATGGCAATATAAAAAATCAGGAGTTATCAAGCCTCTGAGTGGAACAAACTTTAGTTTAAGAATTTCTAATTTGTGAAGATATACAATCTGCTATAGTTTATACAGATCCATGAGCAAAAATATAATTTAGAAGACTACTACTCAATAAATCGATCTTCCTCATCCAGTTCTTCACTTTAGTTTCCTTGGTGGTAATTGTAGTCTTATACAGTTTGGTGGAGGCTGACCTAAGTAACTAAACATTTCATTTAATGCTATGAATCAGATTGTATATTCCTATTCTTCAAAATTCAGAAAAGAAATTCCATTAATCTTCAAAGAAATATATTCTAGGGAGTCATATTTTAATGTATTGAAAGGAGAAAGGCAAAGAGATTGGTAAGTCTTAATGTTTTAGCCTTCAGTATCTATACTCCCTTCAGTGAGACAAGAGAAGTCCTGATTGACAAAATACATAAAAATGAGAGTTGGAATTTAAAAAGTAGATATTTCTGGTGGCAGAAGCCCCAAAGTCCTAGAGTGACTGTCTTGAATATGAATAAATGGTACAATTCTTTTCTTTGCTGATTTAGAATATTTTATTACTTTTTAGGGTATAGAAGAGTTGAGTAATTGTCTCTAGCATTCAGATTCAGTCAATTGTCTGCCTTTAGCAACATTCATTTCCAAAAATATCATCTACTGAGAGAATGTGTCAAATTCGAGAGCCTTGTATAAGTGATGGCTAGTTACAATTTGCCATTGATATTTACCAGTGTTATAGCATCATTCTGATGAAAAGCATCCACAGTTGTTTGGGATAATTTGTCTACCAGAATTCTGCAAAATGGCTGCTTGAGCATCATTGATACCTTTACTAGAACCCAGTGTCCCATAGGCTCATCAAATGCTCCTTGATACTGTGGATAAATGATCATTTCAGGAACCACTCAATTCATGTTACTGTTTCCTATTTATATATACTATTCCCGTTCAGATAAAAATATTAATATCCATGACAGGTCTTAATTTTATGTTTTTTTCTTAGCCATCTTTATTGTCCATTCTCTCTAAGCCAGATATCCAGTGATCAGGATTGTCTCCTAAGCTTGTAGATACCCTTCTGAGTCAACATGCAGAGCTTTTAATAGTAATAGTTGGGTTGTTATGGCTCTTAAGCAGTCTTTGAACTTGAGAGCCATAACATCTTGAAAGTGAAGAGTGGATTTTAAAGACCCCTATTTTTTTTTCCCACTGTAAGGTCAAGGCCGGACTTCTCCATGCCGGCTACTGAGCCACCATCACTAATGTAGCTTTGTTGTCTTCTCCATGAAAGACAAGAGCCACTTTGGTGTAATAGTGAAGATACTGGATTAGAAACCACAATACTGTGAGTTCTAGTCCCATTTTAGACATGAAAGCCAGCTATGTGGCCTTTGGCCAGTCACTCTCACCTCACAAGGTTGTTGTTATGGTAGGAAAAATAGGAGGAAGGAGTATTAGGTATATTTGGCAGCCTGAGCTGTTTATAAAAATAATAAAGGCATGATAAAAAATATCTAGAACAAAACAGTTGCAAGTTAGCTATCATAGGAGGAAGTTGTAGTTCAAAATTTGCTTCATTAAGTTCTATCTGAAATAACATTAGGCACTTAGTATTCAATAGTCCAAAGACCATATTTTTTCTCAGGACCTAAGAAAAATATGAATTAATTCCTGGCACACATGGGTACCAAAATGTTTCTCTATTGCCTAGATTTTCAGTAGAAGTTGAATGGTTTGCAATTCAATAGAAGATGAATGGTTTGCAATACAGGTAGTCATTGACTTACGAACAGACACTTAGCAACCATTTGAAATTATGAC